GCTTGCCGTATCCTTTGCGCACGCTGAGGGCGTACACCTCTGCGGCGGCAACGGCGTTTGCATCAAGCTGTGCCTGCGCGGTGCGTGCACCGGCAGACGACAGGGGCAGTGCCCGGTCATCAGCGGAATCGCTGGCGGCAGCGTGCACGGCCGGCAGCGATGGCCTCGCTACCGACACCGCGATAGCCGAGACCGGTGGTTCCTGTGGCAAAGCACGTTGGGAGGGCGTCGGTACCACCCCAGAAACCTGTGTCGTCTCTGTTTTCACGACGGAGGCGGGAGGCGGTACCTCTGTTTTCACGGCGGCAAATGGTGTATGCGATGGCAAAGCGGAGGCTACGGACGGTGACTCTGACTTTATTAACGGCACTGGCTGTTGTGGCATCACCGGCGGCTGCGGCACCGGCGGCACCGGCGGCACCGGCGGCACCAGCGGTACCGGCGGCTGCAGCACCGACGGCGGCGGCGGCGGCAGCGGCACCGGCGGCTGCGGTACCTGCGGCATCGGCACCGACGGCAACGGCACCGACGGCTGCAGCACGGGCTGCGGCGGCATCTGCAACGGCGGTACCGGCGGCGACGGCACCGACAGCGGCGACATCGGCGACGGCAGTCTCGACGACGGAACGTCAAAAGCCGCTACCGACGGCGACGCCGTCGCCGACGGTTGCCGGTGCTGGGGAAAACTCGGCAAAGACATGTGATGCAATAGCTGTCGTGCACGTTCTAGCTCAGGCTCGGGGTGGTCAACGATGGGTTGGGTCGCTTTGACCGACGTTTCAGCGATGTGAGGCGGCAAAGAACTGACCGGGGGCATGGCGGCCGCAAACATTTGGGCAGAAGCGACAGTAATCGGGTCCTGCATTGTCACCGGCCACTGTTGACCCCCAGGACCCATGAACGGCGGCTGCAACGGGTACGGGTTTCCAAGCGCATTTACGGCCCACGGCTGCTGGAAAAACGGCACATTTTGTCCTGCGATACCATACTGTACTTGCCTGCTATTAGTCGGACCATAGTAGGAGAGATGAGTGTGCCCGCCACGGTCAGAAGCCTCCCCCCCCCCGGCATTCCGGCGGCTATATCCCCCATCATTCCGGTGGCTACCCCCGCCGGCACCCGGATAAGCATCCGTGCGTCCGCGGGAGTCATGTCCTCGCGAACGGCCTGCATCCTGCCTGAGGTATTTCTGTGAATGCGGGCGGTCGTGAGTACGAGAGGAATATGGTAGGACCCAGCAGACGCAGAAGTGCCCCACCCGGAAGGTTCCGAAGGTTGCCCCCCCATTTGAGAGCGGCGACCCCCCGAGCCCGCCGAACCAGACCTCGAACGTGCAGAAGTGTCCACATCCTCCCTCGAACGAGCGGAGATGCCCACATAAGCCGCCCGCACACTACGCAGGTCAACCACCAGCCGCTCAAGCCGCACTCTTTCATTCACTCTGCACAGACTAACTTCTGACAAACTTCCAGCAAATATTCTAACTTCTGACTACTGTAACTTCCAGCAATTATTCCATGAAACGGTGTGGTATCACGAAAAGTTTATATCTCTTGTTTTAACTGTATATATACGATATAGCGCAGTCTACAGCTGCACCTTCAATACAACAACAGCAGTACAACAACAGCAGTGTTCACAGTATTACAGAAGACATATGCCTCCAACCTTGCAGCACTTGCAGCAATTAATTGATGATGCCGTGAGATTTGCGTGCATAATCAAGCTCAAAACAAAGCAAGTTAAGTCTAAAGTTAGTTGTGGCGTACCACAACAACAACAATCAATCTACATTTGTTTGTCCAATCTTCCTTGCTACAGCTATAGAATATGTGCATCTTGGAGGGTGTGTGTGGCATATACGTAGTACGTAACCATCCGCGCGGTGACAATACACGATGCACATACTCCAGTTCGCGTTGCTTACGCTAGAGAAGGCGACAGGATGCATGCATGTACTACTGTACGTACAACGCATACATACCACATAGTGCGGACAGTCTGTCGATATCTATCTACAGATGAGACCATGCGGCAAAAAAAAGTATGTGCTAGGTACTACATGTTGCTCGACTTCAAGTATGTGTCATGATTTATGAGTTGACGTTCTCCAAAATCTCGTCCAATGATGAGCTGCGTGATTCTTTAGAGATCACAGTCCCTTGAAGCCCCTTGCGTAGACGCGCCCGGATGCAGGAGATTTAGCCATACTTGACGGTGCTGTAACTCGGCTCGCCCTTGGAGTCTAGAGCTCGCGACAGGGGCGCTGTGATCGTGAGAGTGGCACGCCCACGTCGGCGAAGACGGCCGAAAAAAATGTTTAAACCCCATTTAAAAACAATTAAAACCGATTTACCGCACCGCAACCTCTAGCTCAATGACTGAAAAAAAAGTGGTTGCGTGCATTCACCGTGCTGTAACTCTGCTCGCCTTTGGAGATTCGAGCTCGCGACAGGGGCGCTGTGATCCAGAGACTGGCCCGCTGCAGCGGGCAACAGCCGGCGAAAAAAAAAGCCTCAAGGCGACCGCGAACTGATGCACCGAAAAAAAACGTCTTGCTTTTAGAGTGCAACAATGGTTGAACTCTTGCGTCTCAGGCCTCCGACATAATTGTAGTTAAGTCTATACTCACAGGATGGTCGTCGTGACGTGACACATTTCTTGTTATTAGTATAGGAAAAAAAAAAAAATGGCTCGATTTTTGTATTTCTACAGCAGTATGGACCAGACGCCGACTGTACATAGAAGTCGTACGAGTGTCGACTTAGTTGTGCTGTCACAGCATCTTCCACGCACTTCTGCCAGGGCTGGTTTGTTGATTGGAGTCTTGTAGGTCGAGATACAGCCGTGGGATTCTCGGGTTGTGGAGGCAAAAGTGAACCAGAGCAAAAAATTGCATGCATAGCTCGATTACTGCTGTGTTTTTGCTACAGCAGTATGGACTACAGATGGCGCCCGCACTTAAGAACCTACCTGTTAAGAACATGAGGCTCAAAAAATCCAAAACTCATGAACATGAGCGTATTTCAGTGGTCCCCGTTAAGAACCTCACACTAAAACCTATATAATGGCCATTCGCAGCCTCAACAGGCAACTAAGAACCCCAGCCTCACGCAAATTAGGTTCTTAAGTGCGGGCGCCATCTGTAGACGCCGAACGACGTCCGCGTACTACGGCAACGACCTAACTGGATGGGATACTTCCTGTCACGGCGAACCATAGTACAATGCGATGCAAACATCCGTTCGTGTGTCGTGCGGCTGCCACATGTGTCGACGACAGGTACACGTAGAGCTCTCGCCATGTTGTCGTTATTACCGCGCAGGAGGACCCCTCGGAGATCTTCCACATGGTGCTACAACCACAGCAGTACTACTACAGATGGCGCCCGCACTTAAGAACATCTTAATTTGCGCGAGGCTGGGGTTCTTAGTTGCCTGTTGAGGCTGCGAATGGCCATTATATAGGTTTTAGTGTGAGGTTCTTAACGGGGAACCACTAAAATACGCTCATGTTCATGAGTTTTGGATTTTTTGAGCCTCATGTTCTTAACAGACAGGTAGGTTCTTAAGTGCGGGCGCCATCTGTACTGTACATAGATGTCGTAGGAGAGTGGAGTTGTGCTGTCACGGCATCTGCCACGCACTCTCCTACCGGTGCTTGCGTCGATTGGAGTCTTGTAGGCCGAAATACAAGAGTGGGTTGGGCTCCCGGGTTGTGGAAGCAAACCTGCCTCCAACAACAGAGAAGAAGGTGGTGTTCTATTTCCTACGGTATCCCGCTCAACGTTTTTTTTTTCTTTTTGCGAAGTGTGGTTGCATATTTCTTTGCCACTGCCGAAAAAGACCGCTGGATCTTTACGCAATCCATCTTTCGCATTTATCATTTTACACCGAACGACGAGGACGGGTCGACCTTCATCATTGTTGTTGTTGTTGTGTCTTCACATTAAAAACCGTTCCGATCGCTCTCTACCCAGTACCTTCAAATGTATGTCCGTACGTACTTGTGGATTATACGAGTTGGAAATTGTGGGAATCCCTACATTCCGAGAGAGCCATAGGTCGGCATCCGGCCTTTTCATTTTTTGTACAAGTATGCACTTTTCTTCTTGTGAAGTTTTGACGCTGCGCTTGCCATCGTCGCTTAAGTATTTATTTGTGTCTTCAAACCTTCTCAGCCGGCCTTCAAACTTCTTGTTGGTAAGTCTCCGTGGTAACTTCTCCACGCATGAGTCATATATATGCGGTTATGACCTGCGCTTTGACTTTCACGATGGGTATTTTACCTCCCCGTCTTGCATTGGTGAGTACCTGCGTTATACGGAAGGATCGTTCCACGACGCAAACGTCGACGTCTCCGTTTTTTTTTTTTTTCCTTCGCACTCCTTCCTTGCGGCGGTTTTCACACCGACTTCGAACTTCGAACGTGGGGTGCAATTTCCTCTCTTCGTACCTTCCTCGTCGGCCTTCTCCATCGTTATGTACATAATGTATACCTCGATTTTTCGGCTTTTCGAGTCCGATAGACAAGACTACGGACTGACATGTCCCTTTCACCCCCGACGGGACCGCGCGCTCGTCGAGTGCCGAAATTCTTCACCACTTCCTTGCCTCTCCCAACTCCGTCCCTTCTTCCCGCCCCTACAAATCCTCTCCCCTCTTCTTCTTTCCGTCCTCCCGGACACTCACCACCATCGGTCCTGGATGTTGGCCCCCAGCCCCATTGGGGGGCGGGGGGCCAATCCTTAACCCTAGTTACATACATACGCGCAACGGTAACAGCAATCGTGATATTGTACAATTTTGGACGAACCTGTGTAAGGATACAAATCCCGCGCAGAGTGCGGCCAACGTCTGATCCCCTCTGCACCTGTTTATTGTGCCTCGTTAACCCGTCCCGTCCATTGTCCCCCCCCTCCCCCGGCGCGGATGTGTTGTTTTCCTCTCGGGTGATGGTGACGGTTGTAAAAACACGATTGAACGGACGAGCAAAGGGACATGTCATACAGTGTCCCGCATCCTTCCGGCGAAGGCGAGCTGACGCTTCTCGACGAGATTTCAGGGTTCTGCAAGCCCGGCGAGGTATTTGGTGCATACGTTGTATGGGCTGTGCCATGCGCCCATCTTTTGGGGCGGTATGCTGTATCGCTGTGGCAAGTTTTTGTTGAAAAGAGCAAAGCTCCACTTTACAGCAGGCACGTGCAGAGATAAGTACAGCCAATGCCGCTGTTGTTGGCGATTTCTTGACCTTCCGCGAGTGTTCGCTGGGCACGGGATAAAAAGCTAGTCGCATGGGAGAGCCGCCCGCTGACCTGAGCAGCTGCCAAAATCTGCCGCGACAGATCGGTCTACGCGTCTTTGCCAGCAGCTGCTCCATGGCCTAGATAATCTACTCACGTCTGTTAGCGGCCGACGTGTAGCAATCAGCATGTACAGGTTGTTCTGTCGAAATCGAACGCCTTGTTTGTTGCCTCCGAGGACGATGCTCCCGTGGTGGAGTCCGCGGTGATGTTTGTTTGAAAAGTTGAAAATTCGTTTCCTCACTAAATGTCAGCAATCAAAACGCCGACCATCGTCGACACTCGTGTCACGTCAAGCAAGACGAAGAAAGTCATTCCCACATCCCTCCGTCCTTCTCTCCTCAACTAAAAAAAACTAACAAACGCAAGATGACGGCGCTTATGGGGTCGTCCGGCGCCGGCAAAACCACCCTCCTCGACGTGCTAGCCGGCCGCAAAACGGGCGGGACCATCACTGGAGACATCTGCGTGAACGGGCATCCCAAACGGCAGGAAACCTTCATCAGGCGAGAGAGCCGTCTGTCGGCCGTATCCCACAGAAGTCATCTGTCGGTTAGTACATACGTTTATTTTTCGTATGCAGTGGCGTGGACCAGGCGCGCTCACGTTCACACGCACGCTACCCACCCACTCCAAGTGTGCGCCTCATGTTTGAAGAGGGCACCCATCCAGGCGCTTTAGTCGAGTAATTCACGTTGCAGATAGCGCCCGGGATTTAGACACTTACGCTAAGAAGATGAGGCTCAGGCTGTCGCGGAGTCAACATATGTTGGCAAACACAGGTCAGCCGTGGATCATAGATTATAAACTCAGTGTAATGACCTTTGCTCGGCAGTGGCGACGAAGAAAGAGACTCGGCCTCGACCCGCAATTGACAACTCTCATCTCCGGGCGCTATACAAGTATCTGTATGCAGTTAACAAAGGGAACGAGCCTCCAGCAATGAGAAGCTCCCAGCTTAGGCCAAGTGTTCGTTTCCTTGTGTTATCCTTATTGGAGGTCCGCCTGGGCGCTTTCTTAATATCTTTTGTAAGCGTGCCGCTTACCTTCGAATCTATCTCCCGAGTTGACAGGATGTCTGCCCCCTTCCCGAAATGATAATTTTGTACGGTTCTTTCGCAGGATTGCTGGGTACGTCGAGCAACAAGATATGCATTCGGCAGTGGTGACTGTGAAAGAGGTGCGCCCCTTTTCTTCCAGGCATCTAAATGACAGTCATCGTCAACTAAGGACAAAGACGCGTTCTGCTGATATTGGGAGCGAATGAAAACAAGTGTGTCTTCATGTTCTTTAATGTGGAGTCTTTTTTGCACATTTTACCGGTTCCTCGAAGGAGACGGCAATTTTGTTTCCTCATCGCCTGCCCTGTCGATCAATCAGCACGCTCACACAATCCTCCCTTAGACTAGAGTTGTGGACTATGTCTCGTTAAAACCGCCGGACATTCGCGGTGGAAGGTTTCATGACGTTGAACGCTAGTTCCTGTCGGAGGTGCATGTGGACCTGAAGAAGCCGAAAGGTCGTACATGGCTGTAGTCCGCGTGCGCAGACCGTGATCCGGACGGTCGTGCGTGTAGAGCTTGGAACGGAAGGAAGGCCTGACAGTTGCCCGAGCAGCGTTAAGAACACACGTTGCAAAACTGTAGCTGTGGTTGTTGTGGGCGAAACGGGCGCAGATGGCGTCCTAGAAGGAGAACATGCAATCCAAACATCGGTGCAGGTCTCGGTACGTCCCCCCTTTTTCACCCCCTTCCAGTGTTTTGGCTAGGATCGGATCGCTTTGGTGATAGATCGCCGTTTTCATTTTGTTCGTTGGGTAGTCTATCAGCCCAAAACCGCATGCGCTAATCCTGGCCTCCTCCTCCTCCTCCTCCTCCTGGAGGCAGGCCTAGAGATTTCTGTTCACGGTGGTCGGCCCCATACGTATTTACGCCATGTCATGAGAAGTTCGGTCTCTGATCTTGAGCATGTGGGAGTTGTGTCTCCTCCGATGTGAGCCCTGATCCTGAGGTAGTGTCGTCCGTTTCACTACGCGACGCTGCTGTTGCTGCTGTTGGGGCGCCATTGCCAGCCACCCCGCGCTCTTGGAGAGATCTAGGATACTCGTACGGCTGGACCAGACGGGTGCCGTCCTCATCGCAACATGTTTTCCTGTTTATCTTGCTTGTCCGACCGCAGGCCCTGATGTTCAGCGCTACGATGCGTCTGGAGAGTTCAAAGATGGACGCCGATGGTTGCGAGAAGTTCGTCGGCGGCATTCTCTCGGTGAGATACAGCACTGGTGTGGCATTGCTATGTGATGTGTCAACATGTGTTGCGCTGATTTTAGTTTTTTGGGGGGAAACCTGGTGCCGGCCCGGATCGAATACAGCACAATGAGGAGAGGTCGTGCAGTGACCTGTGCCAAAGTTCAGACCCCTTAGCTGCTGTGCCCATTCTTCGAGCGGCGCACATTGTGCGGTGTTCGTGGAGAGTGCGCCCCCTGCTTGCCTCAGTTTAGCCTCTGGACTTCGCCAACTGGTTTGAGGCGAGTTGTTCGATGATCTTGTGTCCTTTTGGAGGGGGGGGAGAGTCAAGCGGGGGTGACACGTCGAAAACAGGGTACTTGAGGCTCACATAGAACTGCTACCGTCGTTTAAAACGGTAGCTTGCCTTTGCTACTTATTTAGAGTGATATGATGGATTCGAGCCACTTTGCGCGGCCTCCCTCCCGACGACAAACGTCGTGCATTTTGCCTTCGCGAGTGAGCGACTGCCATCTCAAAGTTATTGATGGATATGGTTCCTAGCGCTCCATCTAAAAGGGATAATTTAGTACATCCGATACGAGGTGCCACTGTGAGTGTGGATCAAAGTGTCGTTTGTTTTGTACGGTTGGTTAACTTTGTCTTACACAATGGGTATGCTTCTGGCCCGAGATGCATCACCCATCATGTTTTTTGTTGCTCCTCTGTTTACTGCTGCTGTTGTTTTCGTGTGCAAAGGTGCTCGAGCTGGAGGAGATCGCCGACCGCCTAATCGGGAGCGAGGCGAGCGGAGGGCTGTCCCTGGAACAGCGCAAGAGGACTACCCTGGGAGTGGAGCTAGCCGCTAACCCTAGCCTCGTCTTACTCGATGAGCCCACCAGCGGGCTGGACGCCCGCTCGGCTCAGGTGCATGCGTATATTATTTGCCTGTGCTTACTTGGATAGTTTTAGTAGCATATGGCACACCAGCATAGGGGAATAATGTTTACGTACGCACGTGCCCTGTTCTGTATCTTGTGTCGTCGAGGTCCAGGCAGATGATAACTTCATTCCATGTCGTGTTGATCTTGTAGCCCCCACTACCGCAAAGTTGTAGAGTGTGAAGGTGACAGTACGGCAAGGCAGCAGCCGAAAGGTGAGGATACTGCATTCACCAACCAATAAACCCGTACCGCATTGTTTGTCTGTGGGAGAAAGGTGGTGATGAGAGCGATCCGCAAGGTGGCCGCAACCGGACGCGCAGTGATCTGCACAATCCACCAGCCATCCACCTACTTGTTCGAGATGTTCGACTCCCTACTGCTGCTGAAGAAGGGCGGGCAGACGGTCTTCTTCGGAGAGCTCGGCGCAGAGTCCTCCAAACTCATCAGCTACCTGTTGGTGAGCGGAGTGAGCGAGTGCTGTCGAAATGTGGAATGTTTGGCCCCATTTTTTTCGCGTTCTGCTCCATAGGTAGGCTTTGTTTGCTTAGCTTGGCGCTTCATTCCCTTGGGTGTGTTATTGGCGTTGCTCCCGACTCCTCTCCGTGTTCCCCTTTGACTTCCTTTCTGCGGTTTTATCTGCTTTCTCCGATCACTCTACCTGGACTAGTCGGTGCCCAACACCCCTTCCATCCGGGACAACGTCAACCCAGCCACTTGGATGCTTGAGTGCATCGGTGCGGGCACCACCGGGAAGGTACCAAGGGCCAATGTTGTATCACTGGTTGGGCGCCTGAATTGAATACTCGATCTTTTAAGCATATGAGCTTGCAACCTTTCGCAACAGAAGCCTTGTCGCAGGCACGTGATATTTCTGTTTTTATTTCAACGAATGAAGCTCATGAGCCTTCTGGCTGTTTCCGTAAATGCCCCTAAGTTTCGGTGTCGTTCATTAGATGCATGGCAAAAGCAGTGACGTCATCCACAACGCCACAGAGAGGGGGGGGGGACCTGAACCTCCGGTGCAAATGCAGCAAAGCACGTAAGAGGCGTTTCGCGAAAAAAAGGAAGTAGTGGAACGATTCTCACCTTTCTATCGTAACGCGGTGCATGTTTTCTGAAACCTACCTGGAAATTCCATCAGGTGGACCCTCAAGTGTATGCAGACGTGTACAAGAAAAGCAAGCTCAAGAGCGGCACACTCCGAGAGGTATAGTCTGGTCCCGTTGGTGTTTGTGTTGTGTTTCTAGCTGACAGGGTTTCAAATGCCAGCAGAAAGTGTTGTTAATGGATAGTTTGTCCAACTACCGTCGGCCTGCCGGTAGCACGCATCAGATACGTCTTCGTATATATATATTCCAAGCGTGGGGTCAAAGAAAATCCCGTTTTTGAGAAAAAAGCCCTCCGTACAGAGCTGCGCGTAGAGACGGCGTTTCATCGGTGTTTTTTTATCTCGAGATGATTGCCCACACCGCCGCATCACCACCGCCACGTGGCCGTGAGCGATTGAAACAGCGCCTTGTAGGAGGTTGTTCAGAGTGGAGGAGTAGTAGACGCTCGGTGTGCGCGGGGTAGCCTCAGCCCAAGAGCATCATTTCGTTGGATCGAACACAAACTAGTAGTGGTGTTTTTTGTCTCGCTCTTCAACAACAACTAGTTCTACAACTGGCTTGGCGTGGAGAAAGTAGTCTCGAAGGATGCTGATCATCTTTGTGTTGGTTCTTACGTATCGTGGGTGTTCGCGATCGCGGTTGTGGCATGTGTCATGTCCGACTCAGTACGGTGAACGCTCTCTCCTTGGACTCCCACGAAAGTGTTGTGCGACATTCAATTGTTGACTGAGTGGATACCGTGCCTGCCTCGGGCGAAAAGTGATTAGAAGCTTGTAAGAGGCGTTTCGATTCTTGCGCTTTGTGCACCTCATCCTTGCCGCGATTCAATCGCGCTGTTCCTCTCCCCTCCCCTCTCCTCCCTGTTCTCCTTTCCGCTTACCTGTATTTTTTTCTGTGACTGATGTTGTTTCGCCCTGGTTCTTGAATGGGAACGTGTCTGTTGCTACGTGGTATCACTCAGTGTCATTTATTTTAATGTTCCGCCCGCGTGAAATCCGCTCCTGGTCCTACCCCGATCTCGTTCGTTAGTCACATCACAAGCTTTTACTGCGAAACGCGAACCAACTTTCGCTGCGTGTTCTCGGGCGTGCGGTATGTCGGCGGCCCCTCATTTTTGTGGCGTCGTCTCCTTCCACCACCATTTTCAGTTTTGTTCGCACGCTCACCGCGCTGAAAGCCTGACTCTTCCGGTCCCTGTCCCTCTCCTCTCCTATCCACCACAACTTACTGCATTCGATGAAGTAGGCACGTTGAGCACGTGCTTGCCTCATAATTAACTGCAGCTTGGCGTCCGCGGTACCAGGTCCTCCTCACTCGTAGCCCCTCTTCCCCGTTGTACTGTTCTTTAACGTTTTGTCTACGAAATCACGTTATCTTCGACAGCTGGAGACCCTCATGGTTCCCCCTGCGGGCTCCGAGCCGCTGCAGTTTAGCTCCGTCTACGCCGCGCCGAGGAGCCTCCAGATTAAGACATGCATAGACCGGGCAATCCTTCAGGTATATCATGTGTCAGCCTCCAGATAAAGATATGCAAATACTAGACCGCAATCCTTCAGGTACGTACATGTGTCATGGGATGAGTACGATGCTGGAGAGGAAGAGCCTGTGATGTTCGACGAGATCGACGCCAAGTATGGAACCTGCTATACTGGGGACTCGGACTCAGCGGACTTAGGATCGAGGAACTCCTCCTTGATTCCGGCATGAAGCCCCTTATTCCATGCAGTCACTGAATCCAAGAATGTTCGGTTGCGTCGGTACTGAAACAGAGACACTTTCCAAACACTCCTCGCTGAAGAGGACACAGCAGGGAGAGTTCGTGGCGTAACAATTCAAACAAAGAACGATGTGAGAGACAAATTCGAGAGTTAACGCCACCATCGATGCCCATCCCGGCTTTTCTTCTTCCGTGCACGACGCTGTAGCGTTTGTTCGAGAGAAGGCCACTCGTTAGCCCTGTCTCATGTTGGTATGGATTGCTGGCCGCGAGCAAGGTTGGTTTGTATGACTGATGCAAGGGGCCCTTAGAGCAACAACAGGTCTTGCCTCTGTGGCATGTGTCCAGGGCGTAGCGATGAATAAAGGTCCATTTACGCACCCATGCCTGATTTCTGGTACGCGTGGCCGCCGAGTTCAAGCAAGGAGCATGCCCATAGAAAATGACGCTGACAAGGGAAAGCGTTATCAATACAACAATCCCGGAAGGTCCGTGATAATAAGAGTTCCGACTAACGCACATGACATGAAGGACGACACACTGCGGCATGTTCTGGTGGTGTTGTGTCAGTGGGTATGGACGCGGCGTCTTGATACCATTGGTCGCCAGATGATTTCATGATCAACATGACGGGAAGGGGATGCCTCCTCCCCACCTCCAATATTGGCGTATGACTTGCCGACTGTGTTTGCGGTTGAGTTGCCGACCTAGTAGGAGAACGGGTATGCTTCGATCCCATACATTGACCGTTGCAAACGATCGCCGGCCAAACTTGAACCGCGCTTTGTTTGGAAAGACCCCGATCAAGTATCTCCCGTGCACCCTGCTGCCTGGCCAAGCTCAAATTCAAGGGAGAAACACCTCCACAGTACTTGGCCGACTTGTATGCGTTTTAGTGGTCCGAGGAACCAATCAGCATTTCGCTTAACGCCGCTGCCTGAGTGCCTGCCAATCCCCACCGTCGTTACTCTTGTTGTCAGTACTGGCGCAACCCGAACTACAACTGGTCTCGTATCATGCTCGCCTTGGTGATTGCTATCATCTTCGGAACGGCGTCGATTGGTCGTGGTAAGACCCTCCGTCGTCTGCAATAGTCTACAACAGGGAGCGCATGTGTCGTTCGACTGCTGAGGCTTACCTTTTTCGTGCAGGATTCCTCCGATACGCACTCTCAAATGGTGCAACCGTATCGTTGGGAAGGCAATGTATGTGTGTGTGTGTTTTGCACTCTCGTGCAGTTTGAGGTGTCGCGGGCCTCTCGTCTCGTAATTTTGCAAATTATTACTCCTTTATTTTCCGCGCTAGCTGTCAACACGACTACGAGCACGCGATGTAAAGAAGGTGCTTGCTGGTTGGTGTTGTATGCGCACGTTGATTTCGTGGCGAGTTCCGAAAATCCCGACGAGTTTACCGTACTAAACATGGGCATCTCCCGCAGCGGCAGGTGTTTCAACAGCCAACATCTCATCCGCCCTGCCGATCGCACCGGCCGTATTTTTCCTGTCCCCTGATGCATTCTTGGCGGTGCTCTGCTCATCAGACCTCGAGTCGGAAGCAGATGTCGGTGCACAGACTGGCGTCATCTACATGTCCACCATGTTCGTGGGGTCGATCTGCATGCAGACCGCCATTGCGGCCGGCTTTCTGGAACGCATCGTCTTTTACCGGGAGAAGGTATGCACATGCCTAACTCACCCATGTAATCTGTGACAGCCCATATGTGCGATCCCCCATGCCAGTCCAGGCGAATCCATGAACTGCTACAAGGCCCACCGCAAGGATTGTCGTTGCTAGGTGATATGACGTGGAGTCCCGTGGAACTCCATGGTACAAATCATAGCACATGACCCCCTACCCCATCTTATTGCAGTGCACTAAATAGGCTGCTGGTGACGGTTTAAGGCGGGATGACAAAATAACAGCGACCTGTGGTCCCTCTGTCGTCTATCCCCCCCATTCTCATCTCTCTCTCTGTCTCTCTCTCTCTGTCTCTCTCTCTCTCTCTCTCTCTCTTTCTTTCTCCCTATCTTTACTCTTTTCTGGCCCTGTACCAACACTCTCAGGCGGCCAACATGTACAGCAGCTTGGCGTACGTCATCGGCTATACTGTCGCCGAGGTCCCGTACATCGTGGTCATCACGCTGGCGTTCTGCTGCATATTTTACTTCGTCATGGGCCTCGCCGCCACCGCCCACCAGTTCTTCTTCTACTGGATGTATTTCATGCTGTGGGTGACTTTCATGGTCTTCAACGGCATGATGTTCGTTTTCATCATCCCCAGCTTTTCCACGGCGGGCGTGTTGGCGGGGACGCTCGTTAGCATGTTCAGCGTATTCGCGGGCTTCCTCATCAGCCCTGCCAAGATCCCGGGCCTGTGGCTGTGGGCATACTACCTAAACCCGGTGAGAAGATGACTGATCCCTTGGTCTAAGCAACTAGCAAGGGGTAAAACGGACTGTGGTCTAGCATCCACGGGTGTTGTGTACCGCTCATCGCACCCATCTATCAATCCGCCCTATCGCTCCTCTCGTCAGGTGCTAGAACGCCCGTATTTCATGCTAAGTGTCTACGCGTTATGGATGAGACTTCGTCCCCAATATCAGCTTTGTTCACTGTGCTGCTCAAGAATCGCGACTCCACCTGCAGGCGAATGGATCTTTGTACCTCGAACATCGTCAAAAACTCTGCTTGCCCGGTTTTCATTTACTTTGGCCGTTCGCTGTCCGTCTTCCCACCTCTTTCTGTCGCCCTCATCCTTCTTCACTTCGTGCTCGCCAACTGACTGCTGTTCGTGATCCACACTTGCTGGTTCCAGCTGCACTACATCCTAGAGGTGAGTGAGCGCGGACAGAAGTAGGTGAATGTTCCATCCGATGCTCTAACAACGGCGTTTGTTTCAGTATTGCACACTCGTGATCACAAATGACCCGGGCGAGCGCACGCCCCTCCCCTCTCGAAGGTACGGACGGGGACTCACTCGTGTCATACCAAGAATACCTGCGTCAAGCAATCGCTCTGACTGCTCGGTTTTCGAATGCAATGTGAAGTAGCCCCGAGTCGGATAATCTCTTGTCTCCTGCCCGTTTTGTCATTGTCGTGCCGGCCTGCGTGTTTTTTTCGCCTCGCCCACGCACTTCGGTAACTGCCTCGGCCGGGGCCGATTCGTCCCTGGAAAATCAACCAACGGCCAGGGTATGGTGAGAGACAGGGTGGTGAACTTTAACTCGAGGTTTACCAGGTTCAACATGTACTTTCTTAAGCAATGGCTGTTAAGAAGTTAAGCTTTTCGTGTTTTCAATCACATTTACCTTCTTGTTGGTTGGTGACGACGAAAAACGTTGCGCTTGTTCGATCACACTCACTTGAAAACAGTGTTCGCTGTTGTTTCCACACCCAAACACTGTTTTCAAGAAGTGTCTACGCCCAAACACTCTGAGCAAAAACATCATGAACGGCGCCCGCTCGCCTTTTTTCACGCGTTCCTGTACTCGCACAGGAGAACAGTGTTCTGTCTCTTTTTCTCTGCCTCTCTCTCGCTCTCTCGCTCTCGTTCTCTTCCTCCCGCCCTCGTCTCGTGTTCACAGCACCACCGCAGCAGCAACAACACCACTTCCTCTCTTCAAATTGAATTTGTTTCGTATGACGCGACGCAGGTAAGCACGCAGTTTAACGGCAATGACCGAACCATCGAGACGGCGACCCAGGGGCCAATGACCGTGGAAGAGTACGTGGACGGGTACTTCGGCGGCGAGTACAAATACAGCAACCGGTGGTGAGTCAACCCCCGCAAACCCCGCCGTACTGTGCTTCCTTGGAATGGCACTATTTCTGCAACGTCTCGTCTCATCGAAGTATTCACTCATGGTTTTCAGGAGTAGGGTACCGGACAAGCCCCCCAACAAAGAAAGGTCATCAATGTCTGTATCAGCCGCGGAGGTTGGCGAATGCCGGAACGGTTTACGATGCCCGAGCACTCCGTCTTATCTCGACATGAACCCTAACCTGTTGTACGTTTGGTCCCTGTGCTTGACCGAGTTTATGCCGTTTCTGTGATGCTGCGAAGAATAATGTTGATGCGACTTTACCCTTAAAACCATGTAGAAGGGGGTGACGTACCGAGGTGTCAGCTCCTGCTTCCTGTTATCCTCTCCCCCGCCCCCTGCACCTGTTATTTTTTTGCCTTCCTTGATCTTGGGGGCGTGTGCGTTGCGCGTCCTTGCTATGCTATTGCTCAGGCTGTTGGTGGTGGTGGTGGTGCACAAAAAAAAAACTTGACACATTTAACACGAAACGGTCACTTTCGGTTGTTTCGTGCACCAGGTACGACGTGATGGCGCTGCTATTGTTCATCATTGCCGTTCGGGCGGTTTACATGTATGCCCTGGGACACATCACGCATCTCAACCGCTAAACCGCTGAACGCGGTATACACCGGGGCCGGCCCGCATGAGATCTGCCCACAGACTCATCGTTGTACGTGGGATAGGTGGAATGGTGGCGGGGAGCTCGTTTGCTTGTCGAAATTGTAGATTCCGCTGGCGACACACCATGAGCTGGAACGGCGCAAGTGCAGAGAAGCAAAACGTCTTGTTCGCAGGAGGTGGGGGGTGCTGGTTGCGGGTGGCGGGGATAGAAAGGCTGAATGAAGTTTCCCCCGACTCTTTTTGCCAAGCGGCAGCATCCTCGAGTTTATCTGGGGTCGACCACCACGGCTTATTTTATCTAGTGATGGCGGCTGCAGAGTTAAGCACGACGTGTTCAACTCGAAGCACTTTGAGAGAGACATGAGGGCAGGCACGCAAAGAATTTACCCCGGAGGAATTTTAGGGGGGTCCTGGCGGGTGGAGACGAAGGGTCGCAGGACGCCAGCCGCCGTCCCCCGTTCCCCGTCCCCGTACCACCGCTTCAAGGAATGTTGGGACAGGACACTGCTGCGACAGTAAGTGCTGCGGGTTCCCTATCGAGCGAGTCTGGATGCAGCGCGGAGCGCTCTGGTTTCTTTCCGTGTCTGGTCAACCGAACTCTTGTGTTCTCACGGATATCGCGTCCGGCGCGAACAAGTACGAAGTTTGTTGTACGTGATACAAGAATGGTGCGGGTTAACGATCTATTTTGTAGGAGTAGAAATGTGAATATTTCAGACATTAGAGAAAGCAGGCTGGTGCCATTCTTGCCCCAAGTTTCTGACAAGCGTGAGATTTTTCTTCAGCGTCACGACTGCGTCTGTGCTTTCAGGAACCAATTCTAGTAAAAGTTGCTAGGGCTCTGTTGTTGCGCCTTGCGATGGCTGGTCTTCCCTTCCTCTCGCCTGATGGTTTGATTCCATGCACCGACGTCTCGATACAAAACTGTCCAGTGCCGTACACTCCGCTGTGAACCCCTCGGGTTTGGGTTCCACCCATTACTTTTTCGGCCTGGAATAATGATTTCGCTGACTTTCCCTCGGGAGATGGGTCTTTCTATTTTTGTGGAAAACATGAACCTCTCCCACTATTTGGGTTTCCCCCCGGGTAGCGGTGTATTTGTTCGTGATGATCGATTCCCCCGGGGTGGTGCGTATTTTCCCCAAGTTCCGCGGTCGAATATTTCAGACCTGGTACACAAATTTCCGGGGTAGTCCTCGGTACCGGTTCTTTGGGCGGTACTGCATGCCTCTGGTACTTTGAGTCGGTTCTCGGTATCCCGTTATACGGCCTAATTTGGCGGCTTGAAATAGTCGGGAAATTCAGTTCAGGAATGCGTGAGTTTCAACGCGTCTGAGAGGAAAATCGGCCCGCTGCTCCCCAAACTTGGCTCCGGCACGGTCACACCAATGGAGCCACACATCCCCTTTGGTAGACTGCAAACGGCGAATGTCTCTGTGCGGCGAGCACTGAGCGAAAATGAGCGATTCTCAACCCAGAAAGCCACGTATGTCTGCGTGCCCCCGATTTGGAATCCGAAATTCCAATCGCTGCCATAACAATTGGCCGAGCGAACTCGTGGCGGTACTTTCCGGGGGTACTGCATATGCCGGTATTTACCGCGACTACCAGGACCGACCATCACGGCGGGAAAAGTGCCCCGGGAATTTTCCCGAGGACTACACTGCAAATTACATCAACTCGCATCCAGCGGCCATGGAAACGCCATCGCGGGATATCAATTTGTGCTAAGGCCCCATGAGGGGTTGGAAGTTTCTGTGGGACCTTTCTTTAGAGCTATGTATTTTCCTGACAGTGGATCTACGATCAATACCTCGCACGCATCAAGGCGAAATAACAGCCACGACCCAAAACAACAGCTCAGCCTGCTACCCCCTGGATCACGTGCTATACACGCATATTTTCCTTCCTTCGCAGAGTGCTCACGTTGCTCCAAGCGGTTAAGGTGAAAGAGTACTAGTCTCCGCTTAAGATGCATCTTATTTGGTCCAAAGGCCAACACCGCTCTTACTTCTGGAACAAAAGAGTACGGCTGTAGAGACGGCTATGTCAGCCGCTGCACGTCTACGATGAAACGACCGCTCTGGTTGCATCGGTTGACTCTTTGTGGCCGGGGACCGTTCGCGGCCAGGTCTGGCTGTGCCAGGCAGGGGCGATGTTGTGCTCGAGGCAGTACTCTTCGGGGAGCACGTTACAGGTCTGTCAGGTCGACGTGAACGCGTTGGTTTCGGGTTCGGGTGGTAGAATTAGAAAGAATGCAGACTCGAGGTGAAATCTGAGGCAACACTACAAGGCGACTTGAAATTATGAACCACATCGACGGCATCGCCAAGAGAGCGTACCAAGAGCCGGCTCACAACACGTCATAAATAGAGCAACTCTCGAAAAACTGAGGCGATAGTATCCTGGGAAGGTAGAATAACATTCATGGAAGCAGCAGGGGCCATCAAACGATACATTTGTTGATTCTCACATTAGCTCGCTAGTCAAAACGTCCATGGGGGACCCGTGGTCACAGTACATGGCGTGTGTAGTGCCGCCAAGAAAATAAAAATGAAAACGTATAGCAAATGGAAGGCATCGTTGTGCCCGTGGGGCAACCTAGCCCTTAATAACCTAAAATCGGCTTTCTGTACAAAACAAAATAATACGGTACATATGTACAACTGGGAGGATACCCAAAAGACACCTTCAAATTAAAACAGCGTCAAATGTTGGTGGTAACTGCAAACAACACGGCAAATATCAACCCCGCCAAACAACTCGGAAAAAAATAAAGAGCTCGGGGCACTCAGCTGTTTCGTGCCGGAAACAGCGCGAATCTCCGCCTGTCATCCTAACCGACAGCGCAGGTCGTTCTCTCATAAGTTGTCTACATGTAACCATGTACTTTTCAAAGAGTATAAACCGCGTTGTAAATATTCCAACTACTGCTGTAGACAAAAACGCGAAGAATCTGTCTAGAAGCAAACTACGGCATGTAGTATTGGGGAGCGAGCACGACGTGGAGTGAGAAATTGGAACGTACGGTTTCCACTACGAGGGGCTCCGTCATTCACCTTGTTGAGGAGCGCGACGTCCCGCGAGGGTTCGATCACATGGAGGTACTGCTCCAGGCAATGGTGAGGGCTGTTCCCGACTGTGAAGGTCAATAGAACAGCATCGAAAGGCCAAAAGAGGAGAAGCAGGCGAGAAGGTAAGATAACCCCGCCAGTGTACCACATACCAAGAGCTTGGCGTGTTGCGTGAGCAGGCTACACCATGCACTAAAAGCAGTGAGGCTGCGCCACGTAGCGAGGCGTTGCACGACGTAGAGGCGGGTCGTCCAAAGTGAGAGGGCACAACGAGGGAAAACAAACGGCGCGAGGTGCAGCGGAATATGTGTGTGCTGATGAGCATGCAAGGCCCTGCAATACAGGCGGGGCGGGGAGCACCATTACCAGAGGCAAGAGGGACGGGATAACGTGAAAGATGCGTGCACATCCCCACCAAGACCTCCCGACGAATGTCACGACAAACTCAGGGACTGCCCAAAACAAACTCTTTCATTTCATAACAAACGTTCCCTTTGGCATGAACGCGTCAATGGAACCGAGCCAACACAGACGCCGCCGCTAGTACATAGTTCGGCTCTTGCCATAAAAGCAATATTGTTCGTTGTGCTTTCAACATGTCCCCGCGCTCGATCAACGGCCCCCTGGTAGTTCGCTGTCCATCATAGCCAAGATGCTTCGGTGCTGGAGCTCACCGGCCTCCCTTAGTCCAGAACGCAGGATTCGTACATTTCATGGCTGTGTTTTCCAAAGAACGGCCGAACATTCCCAGCATCCCATCTTCAACCGCCGCCCACAGCAATTCTATGCCCACCCCAACACCCTTTGTCTTGCACCTCAATATCAAATTCCTCACTTTCTCCGAGATCTCGCCGGCAACCTTTCTTGGGCGTTCCGTGGCTTGGCGTGCTTAAACTCCGTGCGCCAACAAAAACGAAACGTTATTTTTCGCGTTTGTGAACAAACAACTGCCACCCTCACCGTCGAGCCGGAGAAGTCCCTGCTTTTGCATCTGCATGTTGCTCAGAATCAGCTCCGTGCCTGTCGCCTTGTATCCTCCGGACAGCAAAAAGCCCACCCAGTCAGGGGGCACTACACTCAAACGCGTTGAGGAGGGTTTCAAGCAAAGAGAACGGCGTTGTTAATGCAACGAGAGAAGCATGTAAGGCTTTGGGAACCTCGGCGAAATAATCACAAGCCACCATCTCTGAGCCTTGTCGCGTGCAAACAGACGCCAGCAACGGAGCTCTCCTCCCTAGGTTACAAAATTAGGATTGACCATCCGCAAAAGAGCTGAGTAGAACAGTAAGATCTTCCTCCCCGTTCAAACTCGGCGGGTGGGGATCCGATTGCCAGGGTTCGAAAAACGTTTAATGATGTTTCGTGTATTGGCGAAAGGAACGCATGAACTGGGCAATCGGCGGTACCTTTGGAGAATTCAATTTCGAACACTATCGACATGAAAAATTAAGATATAGCTTCCTGAATTTTTTTCATCGGAGCAAGAGAACTTGTTGCTCCTATTTCGAAGCAAGTGTATCTGGTTAACTGGACCCCACCACCCCAGAAAACACGATTACCTCCGGACCCTCCTCCGTGTACGCTGAATGATGCTCAAGATGCGCTCTACATTCCGAAAAATAGACACGGTGACTCCCAATATGAGCCAAATGTATAGACAAGCTGAGACTGAGTACCGTACATCTTGCTGAAAACGCCTTTGCACAGTGCAGAAAATCACTTCTCTACCCGATACACTACAATATCAGGCCTAGACCGTAGGATTTCAACAAATTCTACGGAGCACTTCGACTTTGCACCGATGGGACACCTTGAGACGTCAAAACCCAAGCATGGACGTCCTGACCATAACGCCTTCAGCGATTCGTTGCATGGAGAGTGGGCTGCACCCCCTAAATCGCTTGTCCAGACATGAGCTTCGCCTGACTAGCTCGATTTGCGTGACGACAACTTCAAGACATGGAAATGGGTATAGACTACGATGTAAACCCTTGTTGGTGCCCCCCAGATACGCACATTGTGATGCGAACATCCCCGCGCGCGCGGTTAGGCGTCTCCATGCCGTACAATACGATCTAACTCCGTCGGCATAAGGTCGCAGCCATAGAACAAACAGTGGGGTGCGTGAATCGCTGGCTACCAATCTCAATTTCACGCGCGGTAGCTGCTGGATGACATCCCCGGGTTCCGTGCAATATCAAGGAATCGTGACTATAGATGACCGGCCACAGAAGCATCTCTCGAAAATGGAAGGCGTGGGAGGGGAGGGTGGGACAACGCTCAAGATCTCACTGAGGTTTTCCGCAAACCGATCGTTCATCATTACGACCCCCCACCGTACCGCCATATCTATCGGGGGAAAATGTCTCCTTGCATCGTGTGAGATAGCGGTGGGAACTACGTCGCAATTCTCCTTACAACGGATGACGGTGTCGACCGCGACGCTGATCCTCAAGATGCGCAGGTTCGGTTGCTCGGTCACCCATGTGGCTAAAGTCTTGTTTCCAACCTTGGGAGCCCCCCACGCCAGGGCCAGGATAGGGATGTCCCCTCCCACGTTGGAGTATGCCAGATCGATGGCACAAAGCTGGCACATGGCTAATCATCGTTGACGACGGGACGGGGGGGGGTATGTCGGCGCAACAGCGGTTGTGTGGGGAAAATAGATGCACGCTTAGGTGGTTCAGCCGATAGTCAGGTCCGAGAGAAGGAACAAGGAAGATTGAAATCAACCAAGTTTGGAAAAATCACCCATGGGACTTATGCATTCGATGACGATTTTGGTTTGCCTTTTCCAGCAGCAATACAACGAGGGGTGTTGTTCTTCAGCGTGAGATCCGTTCAGATGCCGTCGACTCTGTGTTCCTGGTGTATATAACTTGGAGTATAAGGTATTTCTTGCGCCTCTGTATCGCATCGTCGGGCAACCCCTGCCCGATCCCCAATCGGCGCGTGCTGCTTTGGTGGCATATTAAAAGAATGACAAGACCGCAACAACAGATGCCGAAGACCACTCAGTATCACGCGTCGTGCACGCGGCACGGTCGTTCTGCTCGTGGGGGTAATTTTTGTTCTTCCGGCTTCGGTGTTTACACCGACGCTCCCGTGAGAGCGCTAAGCACCTGTTGGTATGGGCTTGCCCAATGCATGCATACGTCGTGTCAAAGTATCAGCAGGACAAAACCTCTTCTGCCCTCTCGCATAGACCTTGACAACAGAGTGTGCGGAGGCAGTATCAACAGCATAATAAATTGAAGGAACAACAACCATTGCTCCTTACCGGCGCCCAGCGAGTGACCGACCACCGTGACCTTGTCCACCCTTCCCTTCTCCACCCACTTCTTGATCTGTTCGTGGATCACTGTTCTGGGGCTCTCGAAGTGTTTAGGCTTGCCGATATACAGCTGCTGGAAGCCTTCGTGGCACATCAAGTTCTATCGCCGTGCAGGAGAGGAAAACACGAACAGCAAGAAAACAAAACAGACGCATAACATCCTTCATCATGACGGCATAGATGAAAAAGGCGAGCCTGGCAGCTTCGCGCATGCACCTGCAATCACACCGCTTCCCCTTTCCCGTCTGCGTGCTCATGACTCAACCACTTTCGAGTCGGGCGACGAATAACATGCCGACGCACCCATATCCCTAATATTCATCGACATGGCTGCAGGATGTTCGAACAACCTCAACCCGGAATCGGCGGAGCGTCTGAAACAGGAATATTCTAGTGGTGCTTTCGCTACGATAGTCTTGTAACGGGTCTGAAATTTGACACCAACAATTTTACGCATGGCAAACGAATTGGGGACCTCGTCACTCCGAGACGTACCCAACGTGCCCAGCCAAGCTCGAGAGTGGACAGTTGCTTCGCCCCTTCCAGCGGCACCATCTTGACCTTGGCGTTTCGGGCCCACTCCTTGACCGTTTCTGTCCCGCGAAAGACCACAACCATCTGCATGCGCACACGGCAAACGATGCACGCGAAAACAAGACAGACATTCGACTAGGCAGGCAGTTCAAAACATGGCCGGTGTACAAACAAATGAAGAGCGGACCGTCAAGCTCTTGAGGGACTGAGTGCTGCACAAAAATGCTACAATGTGTGAGGGCGCCTGCGTGGGTCTCTTAACCGATTCGACAGGCTTAAACCATGACATGGGTGACCCGAAAGATCACGCACGAAATGCGTGAGCGCAAACCAGCTTGATTACCAGTACCGCGGAAAGGACGTGGTGTCAGACGATAGTGCGAGAATGAACAACAACGCCTTCGCTTCTTTTCTACGAGCGACAACCGGTGTCAAGCTGGTTTTGAGCTCTCGCACTTTCTATTGTCGTCGACGGGGTTGCAGGGCGGCACATGCACCAGGATACCTCTTTTCCTCCGTGGTCGGCCTTGGAGATGGCAATGAAGCCGAACCAGTTATCCTCCTTGACAGCGAAGGCAGAGGGGCTGCATACGAGATTCGCTTGCTGTCGAGGACGGCGAAAGCACGCCGACAGGACGAGTTACTCGTTATGTGCATGCGTTCGTCTTTCGGCCAGTGACCGCGCCTCACAAACAAAAGGTTCCTATTCCTGGGGAAATGACTTCCGACACATTACGTGTTGGCCTTGAACAGCGAACTAACTGTCGGCGGGGAGGGGAGGTGGGTTGACGCAACGAAATCAGAAGCCTCCGCTACACATGCTGTGGTTAATCGTTGTTAAATGTACCTTTAAGACACCCTGTCACGTGCTCTCAATAATAGCCGGCAATGTGCGTCATTTGTGTGTTTTTCATTACTCACGACTTCGTACTCGTTGCTGAAGTCATACTCCTGCTTCTGTTCGCCGGCCATGTTCACGTAGCTGGGACCCTCCATCCGAACCACAAGAGGTTGTTCACCAAAACCGACAAAGTCAAGCACGTCAAACGAGAAACGGCGTGCGGTACAAATGGGAGCGGCGTGGCTTGCTTGAACATCCTCGTGGATATTGATTCCTTCGACTACATGGAGAAGAACTCGCCCTGAATTTAGCAATATAGGTTGGTTTGAGGCGAGAGCACCCAACAAGTGTTTGGACACACCGTTGAACGCCTTCGTATTGCCCGCACGGTTCCTTCCGCTGAGGATATTTGTGTTCTCTCAGAAGGATTCGTACAGAGCTGCAGGACGATCCAAAACCGACACGTTCGACCCACCTGAACTCTAGCCCCAGGGCATTGAAATCCTCCAAGTTTTCCCCGAAGCGGGATCTCGCGCGAAGGCCCGTCGCGTCCTTCACGCCGTGCTTGCCTTTCTGGAATACATCGTACACCATGTGGTTGACCATGCCGTACCTTCGGCGCCGGCCCGCGGGAAAACGAATGTGGGGGTACGAGTGGCAGTGGCATAGGCGAGAAGAAACAGAACACAAGGTCAGAGCGACGACGAAGGGGTGGGGAACATCGGCAGAAATGGCAGCAGCTACTTTGCACGGGGAACGATGTATCCGCACCGCTTGTGCATCAAGTGCAATTTGTGTGAGTGAGCGGCTCCATGGGAAAATGCCGCTGCACCACTACTTCTACGTCCTACTACTTTTATTACCGTGGGGTGCAACTGCCTGTACATGCGGCCGTCCAATACTGCATATGGCAGACAACACAGCAGTACGCTACCCTGAGACCCTAACACGTGCCGTTGGTCACCAAGCACGCCAGCCGTACGGGGGTGTGCCAGCGAACGCGGTGAGAGTCTGCGGCACGATGATCAGGGAAATGTTGCCAGGGACAATCGGAGCCACTCCAAATTTTCCGTCACTACCCGAGTGTGACCCCTCCGCCATTGGGGCGGAGGGGTGCGCACCGTCATTCTAGTATGAAGTATTTCTGACTCATGTTGCCTCGTGGGAATCGATTGTGAAACTCGTGCTCTCCCATGATAGCGGCATCTCAAGCAAGATCACGGCGTTGTTGAACCGCACCGTACAATCCAACATCCGGGTGCAAAGAAACAAATTGAATAATAGGATGTAGGCAGGCATGCAGTCCAGGGTACCACGCATGTGCTATACCCGTCCCTCATTGCTGCTCACCTCTGACTATCAAGAAGCAGCACGCTGGCGATTCGTGAAGGATGCGAAGGAATACAAACAAAGAAACAGAGGAAGTCTAGACACTGAAATGAGTTACAAGCCGGCGTTAAATTGACCACTCTATACCCCTCGTGAGCCGGACACAGGAGAGCACGATGTGACTGCCTGATGCCGTCCAACGGAAAATACCACAACCGACGATAACGTACTAGAGATTGCTAGGGTAGCAGGAAGGAGTAAACGCACTTGAGCAGGAAAGAGCGGAAACCCTCGTCCCACGTCCTGGGCTCCTCGATGGACGGATGAAGACCCTCCCAGTGGTTGGATCCACGGTACTCGTCCAGCTTGCTCAATGCTGCCGGCTCCTGACCGTGTTGCTGCGTGGTGCTTGCCATTCTGGTTCTGGCGGCGAATTTTGGACACAAAACAGGGGGTGAGATCTCGCTCCACATGTACATTGTACATGTAGGCTGCATGTAGACTGCATCCAACTCGGGTTTGGTCTTCAAGCCCAAGTCAGCACCGCAGTCAAGGGCGATTTTCGATTGTTCTATCTCGATTTGATTTAACCCTTTTGAGTCTTCAGGCGTTCTCACTGATCATTGATCATTTGCAAATGCTGGTGTAGTGGCAAGTCGTGGAGTTGCCGCCCTGAAGCCCTTCGCGCCGTGTAGTAGCAAGTCCATAGGTAGGTGTGTCTAGATTATTAGCACCCGCACTAACCGGCTGACCAATGAAGAGACGTCAGTGACAGCGGGTAATATCAAGGTCTCGGGAATGGGGCCAATCAATGCCAAATCATGAATATATCTCAACGGATGTACATGAACGTGTGTGTGCATACATACATACATACATACATACATACATACATACATACATATGTGTTCTTTCGCAGCGCCACACATACATTCGCCTGAACGTAGGAATTAAGCCCACTGCTGCAAAGAGCAGAGGGCAGCAAAAGGGAGGGGTATTGCAAAAGCCCTGCCGAAGCCCAGATATCAAGGATATCGTGGTACAGTATGCTGCATCTCCAACAATTTGAAAAAATCGTTCCCAAGATCCAGCAGTCATTGTGTCAGCAGCTACATACAACGAACGCTACAACAACACTACTACCTACTGCTGTAGACGAGTAAAACATATCAGCAACACATCCACACTCGTAGCGCCACACATACTCTGGCCCGAACCTAGGACCACGAGGTACAGGTGTGTGCTGGGTGGATATGCTTGTTTGAAAAACACGGGAGCTCTAGAGAGCTGGCAGGGCACATTTCGGGGGGGGGGGCAGGGAACAGAGAAGTACAGAAGTACAAATACCCTACAAGTACCCAGAAATACCTTGAAGTACGAGCTTTACTGATCTCTGGACTATTCATTTATAATTATACCGAAAATAGACCAGTTGAGGCAGCTAGACGTCTCATCATTTCAAAGTCTACACAGCTAACCTGCCCTACTGACCGCAGCGCGACCACCCATCAACCCTTCTACGACCCTGTCTGTGGCCACCACCCTGTCGCCGGCTTCCCTCATGGCCTACAGGTGGAGATAGCTGTTGCGTGTGCAGAAGTACACTGGTGTGTTTCTCTGCACTTCTCTCTCTCCCGCTCGCTCTCGCTCTCATATTTTCTTTTTGGCGCGAAAAAAAAAATCTGACAGTCCAGGCAAGTCCAGGAGACCAATCTTCAACGCTGGTATGATATCGTCGTATGTATGCTGTACAGCAGCTGCACCTACCTGGTTGATTGGAGCGCGGTCTGAACTTTCGAAAGTCTATCTTCAAGGTGTAGGAATGAATTGCGAGCGTTTCTTAAGCCAGCTCCCTCTTTCACTCAGCGGTAGCAACAACCCAGCCTGAATGCGCACTCGGCAACTCTCTATGAACGTGTACAGACGGCTATCCGCTCTACGCAGTGCATTCATAAATCTCGTTTCCGACGACGACACGCGCTCCTCGGGGTCCGCAAACTATACGCTTGTTTTCACCGCACTATACCCTACACATCTGCATGCATTGTCTCACGTCAGCACAGAAATGCGTGACGGGTTGCTATCCGACAACTGCTGTGCAGCTGAACCGGGTGCTGGAGGTATGTAGGACAAAGGCAATGGCTTTTTAGGATTGCTTGCAACGTACACACAATGAGCCCGCCCGCCCGCCGGCCCGCCCGCTGGCTCTCCGATGTGGCAATGTGGTTCTTATGGTTTTCAGGATTTGAACCACGAAGTCCGATACAGACAGGGCTTTCCTTCTGTCTGATTCTCTGTGTCTGTGTCTGTCTGTCTCTGTGTCTCGCCTTTTTTTCGTCGTGCTTCTCACACCCAGGGCACGGCTGTGCCTGCTGCGTACTTGACTGCAATCTGCTGTGTGTGTCAAAAGTTGCCCTGGGGGCTCTCCTCGAGCGCGCAGAAGGATTCCCGAACCCCCCAGAGATTTTTTTTTTTCTGGTGTGTGTGGTTGCACATTTTCTGATGTACTGCTGTTGTAGACTACAAGCACGCCCCCACCCACAGCCCAACGAACACAGGACAACCTCACACAAAGGTATGCATATGGTATTAGAGGAGCAGGCAGGAAGAGATAGCGGCAGAGAGAAGAGAGAGATCTCTGAAACTCTGTGTCTTCACACAAAAGACTCGTCGGCGATGATGATGATCCTATGAGACTGCCGCTGACGCCACTATGAGACTGTTGTCTCCAGGTTCGCGTGTGAGCAAGTTCCCGTTGGGATGTGTGGTGTGGATACACACCGGTTCAACCTCTGGTGAAGAGGCTGACGAGTACGGATAGTTGTGTTGTGAACCAGGGGGGAGCGACCTTGTGTTGAAGCAAGGTTCAGCATCCACTCGACACTGACTCTATCTGTGGCAACACCCCGAAGGTAGATCTCCGACAGGTCATCTGACGTCACCATCTACTACAGGCAGTCTGAGGTGGCATTCACAATCCTGTCCTTTCAAAAAGCCACCGCGGGCCGTTTCAGCCCCCTTGCTGGCGCTAGCGGGGAGATTAGGGCCCACAACCCGGTGGCGCCGCACTCTCGCACCCTGCGAAGGCGCGGGCATCGCGCAGCGAGCATGAAGACGTGGCGGCAACCGCCTGCTGCGCAACACAAAAATCTAGTCGTAGCGTGTGTGTGTGCTACAGTCAGTGTACAGCCGTAGTTCTCCATGCCAGTCGTTCTATGCATACAAGGCGTCCCTCCGGAGTGGGGGTAAAGGGAGCACCGCGGCAAGGGGTGATGCCAAGTACATGCAAGACGCTACCAGCAGAGAAACGACAGCAGTACATACATCCATACGTACGCATTAGATTCGTATCAAAGGATTCGAGGCAGGTCGGGGCTCATAATAATATTTTCGACAGTTTTCTAGATTTTGTTTGGTTGAAGGCCCGCAGCCGCGCGGATGGATGAGTATATGTGCATGCCGACCTCCCGACCTCTGGCTCGGCAGTCTGCACGGAGATGTGTGCACTGCTCTGCATCTCTGCTGACACCGCCACGAGCTTTTTCATCGATAAAACATCCTTCTTCTGGAGGATTTTTGCTGCAAAAATAATATAATAAGTAGTTTCTGGATTTTTTGGGTTGAAAGCCCGCAGCCGATCGGATGAATACTGTATGTATGTGTGCATTGGATGTGCCGGCGTGCCGGCCTCCTGACGTCGGGCTCGGCGGTCTGCACGGAGATGTGTGCACTGCTCAGCATCTCTGCTGACATTGCCACGACATATACATTGCTCTACTGCTGCTGGAAACTGCATACATACTTGGGGCTGACTGTGTACAGTAGTTCATTCAGCAGTCGGACTCAATCGTAGCCTCATCATGGCGATCATCAGAAGAAGGACCAATTGATTGAGCGGCGTCATCAAGCCGTGTGTTTCTCTGTTTTTATCCACGCACACACACACACCCTCGAAAGGGCAACGAAGAACAAACTATGTATCCATGTGGGTTTCCAGCGTGCGAACAGTATCAGGTAGTGACCGTAGCATCGTGATGTCTCGAGAACCCGGTGGGGATGAGGCGAGATGAGACAGAAGACAGCAGTCCAGAACATCTCCCCCGTATGACAGGTATGACAGATCAGAAACAGCTTGTTGTCACCGCGTACGTTTTCGGTTGAATCTGTCGTCTTGTGTCGGGCTGTTCGACACGACAGCCCGACTCTACCCGACAGATGACGCGACAGATGGACAGAATCAGCAGGGATGTCCATAACGGGGTACCGGTTATAACCGTTTTCTCGATGCTTTCGAAATTTGTCATTATTTTGCGTACCCCCTTTGCTCGCCAAGGGGGAGGGGGAAAGAGCGGAGACCAGGCAGGGCCACACACCACACACGCCCCCGGTCTACTCCTTACGATCAGTATAAACATCAGCCACCCAACGGACAGAAATATATAAACTCTGTCTGCCCCCTGATAACCACACCTGTTTGTTCATACTGAAACCACGAGAGAACCCCCACAAGGCCCATCAACATTAATATCGCCATTCGGCGAAACACTTGGGCCACCAAAGAAAAACCATTTTCTCGTCTCTCGCTACTCTCTGTTTCTCTGACCTTCCCATCGCACTGCAGAAAAACACACATGTCGCCAGGACCCCACGTAAAATTAATCATATAATATATACGGGTGTCCACCAATCAATCAGACTCGTAACGCACGCAACGGGGAAGAGCGCAGCACCAACGCAGCCACACACAGCAGCCAAGAGTGCACTCTCCCAACCATGCAACGGTCCGATACACACACCAACATGCGTCCTGCATATATTCAACCCGAAGTAAATGCGATACACACACATCCCACTCAAAAAAAAAAAAAAGAAATGGGACGAGCACCTCGGAACCGCGCCCAGCATAGATATAGGCACACGCGACCCCGACTGCGGCTACACAGCAGTGAATCCCCCCGACAGGCAATCACATTGGACACAACGCCGCCGCTCCGATTTCCATGTCCACTGACACCCCCAAAAGCAAGGCTAAGGGTGGGTGGGTGGGAAAAAGAAACGCCACGGCAGAAACAACCCTTGGCCACCACAAGCACACACACGTGCTCTCGCTCGCCCCCGGTAAACACGGCGAAGCGAGTATATACTGAAAACAGGAATCAACACGCTCATCCGCTTCCTGCTTTCTGATTGGCCAACGGTTTATTTCTGCCGCTTCTCACAAAACGCAGATTTCCCTTACTTCGTCAGTCAATCTTTCGCTTTTCTCGATGCTTTCGAAATTTGTCATTATTTTGCGTACCCCCTTTGCTCGCCAAGGGGGAGGGGAAAAGAGCGGAGACCAGGCAGGGCAACACACCACACACGCCCCCGGTCTACTCCTTACGATCAGTATAAACATCAGCCACCCAACGGACAGAAATATATAAACTCTGTCTGCCCCCAAACCTAAGGCTGGTGCGCCATACTGATCCCCCCCACCCCCTTTCCATGGGCAACATATACCGCATACCATGTATGCAAAACAAACTATATGTACGACATACAATATGTACGGCATACACAATGTACAGCAAAATAACATCGGTACAACAAGGACCTCGACATACACCACGCGCCACAGAACCCCTTCACACGTCACCCCATCGGGTACCCTGCCCTGGCTGTGTAGTCACCTTCTCCTTGTTCGCCAACACCTCTGACACCCACGAAGCATCATCACCCCCAACATTCCGAACATAACACTAGTAACTACTCCCGACCATAGCCCTTCTCTACGAAGAACCTCCGGCGATGCACCCCCCGCCGCCAAGAAAGTTGCGCCCCCAATACGAAGGGAGTGCAGCGCGTACTCCTCGGGCTGCAAACCCGCCAACGCAACGACTTGGCGAAGGGCCACAACAGCTTGACACTTAGTCCACATGGCCCACTGGCCCCGACCAACACCGAAAGCCACGAGAGGCGCATGCGAAGGCAGAAACGTATACAGAGAAAGCAGCTCCACCATGACATCCACTGCACCACCCCCTCGGTCGACGCCACGGCACGGACCTTGCCGTGTGCGCGTGCAAACCGCCCCTTTCCGAAACTGGTCCCCGTTGGACGAACGAAAACGTACCTCCACGCGATCGGCCAACGGCCACTGCGCCGACTGCAATAGCTGGACCGCCCCCCGAAAAAACGCTACGTCCCTCCGACGCAACCCATGAACCTAATGCATGGACAATTTCGACACCGCAAACATCTCAGATGCTCGCGTCAGAAAGAAGAAAGAGGCACTCAGCGCAAGAAACAAAACACGCCCGCCTACGCCCCATTGAGGCACCAACGAACTCCCCTGTTGCAACATCGCCCAAGACACCGGCCGCCGCAACCGCTGCTGTGTTCCCACGTCGGCATGCCCCCGCGCCGCTCCACGTAAAGCACAACGAATCAGCGGATGCTGCGTATCAAGCTCCCCTTCACCCGACACACGATGGAAAAGAAACGCCACGGCAGAAACAACCCTTGGCCACCACAAGCACACACACGTGCTCTCGCTCGCCCCCGGTAAACACGGCGAAGCGAGTATATACTGAAAACAGGAATCAACACGCTCATCCGCTTCCTGCTTTCTGATTGGCCAACGGTTTATTTCTGCCGCTTCTCACAAAACGCAGATTTGCCAACTTCGTCAGTCAATCTTTCGCGTTACAGGGTTCAGCGGTAGGTACCCTGGAAATCCCAGGATGTTTTTCAGTTCCGGGGGGCCTGTCACTGGGTGGGGGGTTATTTCAACCTGCGGCCCCCCCTCGCACACAGCACAAAGTCAGCAGCAGCACTCAGCACTCAGCACTCAGCACACACCGCAAGCACAGCAGACCATCCTGTACCCACACAGCAGACCAACACAAAGACCGTGTTTTTGTTTTGGTCTCATGTAGCAAAAGACGCAGAGAGCTGCGGGACGGCGGGAACGGTGGGAACAATTTTCTATTTTAACCGGGGTACGTGACTAGCTCCATGTACGTACGCCTCCGCGTTGTAAATTGTTTGTCTTGTCTTCGATGTTTCTTTTTTTTTTGTCCACGTGCGTTTGCGTTGTGGGATAGATGGGAGGGAGCCTTGAGCACCAGAAAATGAGAACATGTGTGCCTTTTTTATTTTCGTATTTTGTCATCCATCCCTGGAAATATAAAATTAATAATATGTATGTACGTATGTATGCATAATACAAGCTGCTTGGCCGAGAATTACACAATGAATTCATGACAACCTTGCATTCAACATTGCCACTGCATTTATTTTAACGTGGTAAAGTAGAAAGCTGAAACGATAGACAGGCTGCAGCAGCAGTGACAGCAGCACACAGCAGTATACACCTCTTTCTACAGCGTACAGCGAGCTGCTTCCAAACGAAGTACGTTGAATACCACCAGAGGGTGTTATAGACTATATATACGTTGAATACCACCCCGGGGGTGGGACCTTTTCGTCCCCGTTATGAGCGGTTATACCCGGTACGTACCCTCGAAGGCTCATTTGCGGTTATTTCCGGTAGGTACCCTGCTCAAACGCGGTTATGGACATCACTGAGAATCAGTGCGTGGTCTTCTTACAGCCACAGGAAAATCTGGAGACTGTGAGGAAGACTTTACAAATCTATATATAGTCTTGAAATCTATATACTTCCTTCTTATCCTTGTACACATCACAACATACTTACCTGGAAGGGGGTGCATATTCGCCTTAGGCATATTCGGGCTTCATTAGACCAATCAATGCTTTCGACTGACCTGTAGACTATGGGGAACGAATCGCACCATCGGCCCGCGCACCGGTGGTGGGAAAAATATTTCACTTGCTTTGTGGGATGTGTCTGCGCCGCTGCCATGTGTGCACATTTAATACGCTACAACCAGGTCTCCGTATGACACGAAAAGAGGGATCCTACTGATTGTGTGTGTACGTGTCGATCCCGGCCATGAGTGGAGTACCGCGCACACACCTCAAAGCTCAAACTGCTTGGTTTTTCTGCGACGCAAGCAGCTGCGCCTTCAGGCCTTCACGCCCGCTGTGCGACACCTGCGGCTCCGCAGGGCGCGACACCAGTGCCCCCCGGGTTATCCTTCTTTTACGGTGTGTCGCATCAAGTAGTGAAGTGGGATACTTGTCAGTGAGCGGCCCCCTCGAAAATTGCTCCTCTAACCTACATACTGTACATCAGACAACACACCAGTACGGCACACTCTGACCCTCGCACGTGCCGTTGGTCACTAAGCACACCGATTGTACGATGCATTTATTTCATCTTCGGACCTTTGTTTGACACATGCTTATTTGACTTGCCTACCCCGGTTTCTTGGCAGCTTGTCAATCAAGATGGCATCCTCGGAAACAACAGCTGCAGCAGTGACTGAGCAGCCCCCTGCCGATGATGGGTCAAGCGGGTTGGTAGGGCCCATGGGGATGGAGGAACCAACCGTTGGCGTGTCAAATACGATGGTCAGTTGGGGGCCAGGGGAGATGGGAATGAGCTGCTGTTGGACGATTTTCTCGTGCCCGTACCGAGCCACTCAAGCTTCACGCCTCTCCTCGATCACCGAGCAACAGAGGGATTTCGCGCACTTCTGTAACGTGAGCTACAGCAACCCGGACGACCGCCCCACCGAGCTCCGCGGTTACGAACTCTTACAGGGCGATATGCCTCTACGCGACGGGGCCGACGAGTCTGGCGCCACTACTGAACCGCTGAATGCCCAGCGCTGGATGGTGTATCGCCACCCCAACAGGGTAAACCACGCTCTCGTCTTCAGAGGTACTGTCGACAAACTAGACATAGAGTACGACGCACACCTTCTCACGAAAGGACTCGCCGACCATAAGCTCATGATGGATTCGGCCGCATTTGCGCTGAGGGCGATGGTGTTCTTAGAGAAGCAAGCCAAGGAGGAACGCCATGCCGGTGCCGGTGGAGCAGACAGTCTCGACACTACTTGTCTCAAGTTCTGGGTGACGGGGCATTCGCTGGGAGGCTCCACTGTGAGTGTTGCTTGTTCTCAAGCTTTTGCAGACATGAATGGCAGGTGTGCATGAGATTCCCGCCTTGCGTAGACCTCAACCAAGGTATTGTCTCCCGAATGATGGCTTCAGGGGTATTCGTACCGGTAAATGCAAAGCCGCTTTGTCATTGTGAGAACCCTCACACATGTCAATTTATTCTTCGACGTAGGTGGCCAAGACTACAACCGGTTAAGAACAGTTGTGAGAGTCGAACGGGTCATATCCTTCGACAATAAAAATGCTGCGAAGACGATGGGTCTACAACTGTGTTGTACAATTTCAATGGTTCACGAGTCTGCAATGTTTGTGTCCAGTACGGTACCCACGCACTCATAGAGAAGGGGCGTCGCGAACCATGATACAGCTGGGATGCGGGGCGCCGATGGTTTGATAATTGGCATGTATTGTGTTCGCAGGCTATGGGGGTGATGCTCCTGCTGAACGACCCTGTTGCCATGGCTGCGACTCTGGAAGCCAACGCGAAGACGCACAAATCAAGGCAACAGTTCTTGGAGATGTACAGGGAGAAGATCGTGGACATGTACAACGCCGCTGTCGCCGAGATATATTCCAACCGCCCGTACGAACTAGTCGGTGGGGACATCTTCAACCCCGGCAGCCCCCCCCGATGTATTCTGCTATCCAATCCGTGTGTGTGTCTGTTCGGGTTGCTGTCTCTTCCGGCGTACATCATCAGCCGCTGTGGCTTGTTCTGCTACCGGTGCTGCAAGCAAAGCCGCCAACATGGGCCTCGCGCGGACCTGCTGGTGAGACCAGTTTGTTGAAAGTTGTCAATAAGTACGGTCCGTTTCAACAGTTATGGTAGCCAAAGGTCACTCAACACAGCCAACCGATGAGAACACCCTCTGCCCCCTTTCTGCAATCTCAAGGTGAACAATCACCACGTCCTTGGCGACACCATCTCGATGACATTCCGCATGGGCAAGGAGCAGAGCTACTGGCCCAACCATTGGAAAATGCACGCCATAGCGCAATTTCTCTGAAGAGTCGAATGAGAAGGAAAGCAGCTCGTCTGAATTTCAAAATGGGCTGCAATTTTTTTCTCTTTGGCGCACATGGCAGGGATGTCCATCCGGTTGGGGAAACATCCAGCTCTTAATGTACATATAATCCTCGGGGTGTGCGTGACTTTGCCCGCGCTTTATGCGGCCTAGTAAACTATGTGTCATTCCAGTGTTGCTGTATGTTCCTCAGTTTATCTTGCAGGCCCCATGCGCGTGCTTCACGGTAAAGACGCGGCTCGTGCAACAGGGGGCACCTCTAGAACTCGAATCGAAGTACAGAAAGTATTTCAGGTGTTTCGCTCCTTTTTAGCCAATTTGGTGGTGGCAACCGGCATTTCGAGGCCGTTCCTCGCATGGCGGTCTTTGTCTGTATTGTATACGAGTATTTGAATGTGCGATACGGCGGCCGTAAGCGAAATTCAGACCCGTCACTCTTCGTTTGATGAACACTGACGGATAGCTGTTGAAAATGGTGCAACTGCCTTGCTCAAGGTATTGACGTCGGCATGGCTCCCAATAACTGTTTCTGAGCTGTCCTCACATGCACGTGAGTGAGTCTCGTGTCATGTTTTGTAAGCACACTCTTTTGCGTTTTCAAGGCGTGGGCGTTTTCTGTCCTGCTTTCTTGATGGTCATGGTTTTGACGACTCCGTTAGACCCGTAGGACCCTGCACCAATCCTCTCGTGCGCTCCGACTGGCGACTCACACGGTTGGAGGCTATATGTGAAAAGACAATAACTACGGAGTTTCGTAGGTGTTTTTTGCTCTCCACAAACGTGTTTCCTTTCAAGTTAAAATGGACTTGAGAGGCGGCTTGAGGTGGCGTACAGAGGGGCGTACCGAACGTTTTTTCTCCTGATTGGCTGCTGCGTCGGTGGCTATGGACAAGAGCAAGTTCTAGTGACTGCGCGCTTGTGACTGAAACAGAGCAGCTCTGGTTCGGTTGGGTTAGAGAGAAGAGCAGTGGGGTCGACAGTTGTCAATTCAACCAGAAGTTAAGATCAAAATTTAGAGGTCTGGGTGTGGTACGTCTGAACCCCTGTCGATCGTTCAGCGGGATAACGCCATTCTTTTCACTGAATCCCGACTGTTTGAACTGGCAGTTGCCTGGTAGAAAGTGCATGGGTTTCGGTCATTAGCGTTGGAAACAAGTCCAAAACGATGAGCTGCGTGATGAAAGTCGCAACTCGAGGACAGAGGAAGAAGAAAGCTTCAGAAAACTTATCATGAGCCCTGACAAACAGCTATGTTGTCTAGATACCAACTTTTGGTGAACGGTATACACTACGCGCGTGTCGAGTCTAGTCAGCACGGTCTGTGCCGGGACGGTCCGAAGGGATTTTGCGAGAAAAAGTTCGTGGGTTCGAGCTTCCGTGTTGCCAGACGGTGGAAAACATTTTCCGGTTCTAGCTATAAAGGAATTCTCTCAGGCTATTGAGAGGTTCACCAGCCCAAAAATTAGAAAAATACAAAATTGCGTGCGTGCGTGATGCACACCACTTCATCCGGGAGATCGTACTTCCGTTAATTGCTTCGACTGTGTACTCGCGGTTACGTCATCTCTGCACCTCTCATCCACGTAACACCTCAATCGTTGCTTCATGTCAGGAGCAATACAAACGATACCACGTGGAGAACAAAGCAGAGCGTATGCTACGCTTCAAATCTACGTACGCTTCACCCTGCTTGGCTTATTTCGCCGAGACACGGATTTTTCAATCCTGCTGGATCTGTTCAAAGTCGGGCGATGCCGTATCCTTCCAGTCCATTCAAATTATTAGAGAAACACCCCTATCGGGTGCACCTTGCACTCGTTCGGCCAATAGCTCTTCTCGGTGCCCAAGTGGAACGCCATGGAGATGGGGTCCCCGATGACGCGATGGGTGGTCACCTAGGAATCGCGGTATGGAGAGGCGTATTTATCAGCTGCATGTGTCATCTGCAGTGCATTCCGATATTCCGAGTGCTCGGTACTTCGCAAGAAAGCCTGTAAACAAAACCTGTCACTCTCGTCGCCTCGCGGGCGCCATCGTCTCTCCCAGAAGCAACCGATGCAACTCAGCTAAAACATTCCACAGTTAGTCTCGTCAAATTCTTAAGCTTTTTCCAAGCCCCTTACACGAACATCGCGTCCTCAAATATGTTTTTACTCTAGCCCGGTAAACGGAGTTCAATTCAATGGCCTCTCAATATCGGAACACTGCGTGCTTCCCTCGTCATTTTTGTTAACCGGCCAATGTTTCTCCACCTCTTTCAAGCGCGGTGTGGGGTGTTCATTACCGCTCTCTTGGTAGCCGTTCTACTTGTGGCAGTTTCGAGCAAAGTAGCGCACCAGCTTGTCGGCGCGAAGACCATGCTGTTGGCGTCCTCCACAGCCCCGGTAAATGAGCAGGCCGACACGACTAATGATGAAGGCGGGAATAGATAGGCATCCGAACAGTACCACGAATGGATAGGATACCACCAGACTTTAAACCAAATACAGAGAGCACAGCACCGACAGGGGAGCGGGCGTGGGGCAATGGTGCGTAAGGGCCGAGCTGTCATTCGAACGACGCAAATGTTCTGTTACAAAACAGACGATTTCTACTTGTACCTGAAAGGTTTTAAGGTCATCAAATACATGTGTATGGTCTGGAGTTAGTCAACCTCCACGGTGGGGCTGTGGCTGGCGGCTGGGGAGGTATTCACTCAACCTCGAGCAATAATGGTACGGCACTGTGCTTGGCGGCAGTAAAACAGTGAATTTCGGCTGCGCTTGCACGTCTTGGCGAACCCACCCTTTTTTAGATATCACTTCGGGCATAACTCACCACTGGGGCGGAGCGGCAGGATTGAAGACGTCCCCGCCAACGAAGTCGTACGGGCGGTTGGTTCCTCTCTCGTCGACCGCGGTAGTGTACACCTCCATGATCTTTTCCTTGTACATCTGCAAGAACACTTGCCTGTTCTTGTGGCGTTTCGCATCGTCTTCGAGGGCCTCGGCCATGGCCAGTATGTTGTTCAACAAGAGCATGACACCCATAGCCTGTGCATGGTGGTGACATCAGCATGATATTTGAAACCGGGGGCAAAAAATGGGCAACGAATGTGTCTTAACCGTTGTTTCGTCCTAACAGAGAGAAGGCGAGCCGCCAGGCGCAGGATTCCGTTTTGAAAAGCAACAGGTCGCCATTCGGCACCCGTGCTGCGGAACCAATTCGGCAATGTAGGGGTAGGGCGGCGAAACTCACCGTGGCACCTCCCAGCGAATGGCCCGTTACCCAGAACTTGAGACACCTGGCATCGGGGTCTACAGCGGTACCATCGTTGCCATCACCACCAGTGTTGATGCGCTCATCCTGGGCTTGCTTCTCTAAAAAGAGAAATGCTCGCAGAGCCCATGACGCTGAGTCCATCATGAGCTTGTGCTCAGCGAGCCCCTTAGTAAGAAGGTGTGCATTGTACTCCATGTCCAGCTTGTCAGCAGTGCCCCTGAATACGAGGACGTGATCAATCTTGTTAGGATGGCGGTACACCATCCAGCGCTCAGCGTTCAAAGGTTCCATACTGCCAGATTCGCCCCCAAGAAGAGGCAGCTGGCCTTGCAGCAACTCGTACCCTCGAAGCTCGACGGGCCGGTCGCGTGGGTTGCTGTAGGACACCTTCCGATCCGAAAGAGAGAAGCGGGTTCGAATTGGTAGGCGTCAAATAGTGTTCTCGCATGTCTAACATGCGTATCAACACAACAATGGCCGGGTATCCATGCAGCGTGGAAGGCACATTATCAAAAAGGACGCCGTCGGATGCTTGGACTCGGTCGTCGACGACACCCTTTTGATGTGATTCTATTTTCCTGACAATCTTTCGCTACCTGTTCGAGTTCAACCACCTTCACCCACCCCGCACCGAAGGCAGCACACACCGCCAAACTTTGCCCTGCCGATACTCCTACCGTTTCAAACACCCCGTACAACCATGAATCACCCTACGATTGACGCTAGCCAGAAGAGGAGCCGTACAGACAAGGATGGCAGAAGGCGTACAGTCGGAACCGAAAGGAAAACCAGTTGAGACTCACGTTACATAAGTGCGCGAAATCTCTCTCTCGCTCGGTCATCGAAGAGAGGCGCGAAGCTTGGCTGGCCCGATATGGACAAGATAAAATTGTCCACCAGCACGCGCTCCCGATCTCCCCTGGCCCCCACCTGATCGTGGTGTTGGCCGTGGTCGACTGCGGCTGCCGCGTTGCACCATCAACGGCAGGCTGATCAGTGACCACTGCAGTTACTGTGTTCCCATCAGTATTTGGATGCTCAATGGCCGCTGCAGTTGTCGTGTTCACCGACGACTGCGGCTGCCGCGTTGCACCATCAACGGTAGGCTGATAAGTGACCACTGCCGTTGCTGTGTTCCCGTCAGCAGTTGGATGCTCAGTGGCCACTGCAGTTGTCGTGTTCACCGGCGACTGCGGCTGCCGCGTTGCACCATCAACGGTAGGCTGTTCCATGACCACTGCAGCTGCTGTGTTCCCATCAGCACTAGGATGCTCAGTGACCGCTGCAGTTGTCGTGTTCAAGGGCGACTGCGGCTGGCGCGTTGCACAATCAATGGTAGGCTGCTCTGTGACCACCGCAGTTGCTGTGTTCCCATCAGCATTATTAGGATGCTCAGTGACAGCTGCAGTTAACGTGTTCACCGATGCCATTGTTTCGCTTTGTTTTGGTTCCTCAGATTCGGCTTGGCGGTGTCAAAAAGTGTGCTGCTGCGGTCGACAACACGAGGACACCAAGACGGGGGCAACGAGAGGCAAAGTTGGAACTCAGGCGGGCCGCATTGGTGAGTGCATGTTAGAAAGAGAATCAAACCAGGATTTTCGTCGGGTTTGCAGCTTATCGGATATCGAAATAATTATATCGATTGATCGAAATAATTATTTCGATTATCGGCCGACGCCGGATAGACTACTAATTTCTCGGCCCGAAACATTCCGAGAACGACCCAGTCGCAGGCTATTTCAGCGGTCCCCAGCGATGCCGGTTCGCAAAACAAAATTTGCCTCTTTTATAAAATCTCCAACTTTCAAAAAAGACATACTGTTTGTACTACAGTACACACAGCTCTAGTCTACATCGACTAAAAAGTCACCGGCACCTACATACATACATACATATGCATACACACCGGCATACCCTGTGTACAGCACAACCAACCTCCTCCGATGGCAAAGCAACTGCTGTGTGTATGCTCAAGTAGAGCATGTTGGGAAGCTGGTGGCATGGCCAGCCTTACCCTACCGTCGGATGACCGGAGGGCGAGATGGCTGAGATGTTTATTTTGGCGGCCGAACAGAACTACACGAAGCTTGGCGGGCGGACGTCTCTCGTTCATGTCTCCGCAAGACCACCAATTGAAAAGCAACAAGCCGAATCAGGGCAGTGGCGGTTGCCCTCCGTTTGTTCGCGGACGCAAGGAAGGGTGCTGTCCCAGATCAGACGGACGGGCAGACAAGGGAGGCGACAGCAGGAGCCTTGGGGAAGTTTGGGAAGGCCGAAGCTCCGGCCGAAGCTCGGTGTGCTGCCTGGGAAAACGAAGCCTCGAGGCAAGGACCTGGGACATCGGACTTGCTTGATAAATTGCGGCTGTAGGACGAAGGACGAT